GCCCTGCTGGGTGTTCTTGGATGATCTTGGCCTACCAGAAGCCTCCCTTCCTTCCGTATCTTACACCCTGGGGGCTGCTCCTCTGCCTCCCCTGTCCCATCTCTCAGTGCTGGGATCAACTTAGCAGGGATAGGCTTTATTTGTGGGGATGGAAAGAGAAAGAGTCACAGAGGCTCTCAAAACACATGTAGTGACTGCCAACAAAATAGAAAATGGTTCTGGGGACCGAGAAGCACAGGACGGAGGAACAAAGGGAGTCTGAATTGGATGAACTGGTGGTCTTTCCGGATCCCAGTGGTGTGGGCCGACCCTGCCTGCTTTGGCGTGGCTCATACCAGTGAAGCAACAACTGCATTCAGCTCAGGCCCTTGCAGGCACGTGTGGCAGGACCCATTGAGTCACCACTAGCTAGATATGTGCTTCGCAGATTTTTTTTTTAAATGAGTTCTTAATTGCACCATGTAATATATTAACAGATCCTTCTTATAAAAACTTAGGCACTACATATCAGACAAAAGTCTGCTTTGGTCATCACGTACGATGCTGACTCCCACCACAGAGTTGACCCATGTTACCACATTTTCACCGCCTTCTCCTTTGCATTTATATACATACATATGTGATTATAGAAAATATAAGCATGCTTCTTCTGTGGGATGGGGCTTGTTCACATACGTGGTATTATTCTATAAGTGTAGTTTTACACCTTGCTCTTTTGTGTTTAACAATGCCATGCCAATGCATTTAGATTTCATTCCTTTTAACTGCGAATGCTTTAGATGTGCTTGCCTCTTGCATATGTGGGTTCAGTCTCCTCCATCACTCTGCACATTTTTTGAGTGGAGAGAACAGGTGTTTATACTGTTTGTGGTCTCTTTAGGGGATCCCGAATAGCCTGACTGCGCACTCCCTCCGAGCGGCCCAAGCAGCCTTCACCTGGTGTTGGATGGATCGTCCGTCCCTTTCCTGGTCTTCGCTTTCATAAAGAAAAGGTTTGGATCTCTCCGTGTCTTTGGGGCAGGCCTGGAAAGCCCTGGTGGAGACTGAGGACTAGCGACAAAGGGGCAGTGAGGCCTATCAGTTGAGGAAACACAGTCCTCCTGTTTTGTTTTACTGTACTTTTTATTTGCGCACAGCCTGCCGGCCAGGTCAACTCTGGAAACACAGTGTGCCATTCTTCCTCATTTGAAGTCGCACAGTGAAGAGGCTGAAAGGGCCAGGCAGGCTTCTGCCGGAGGCCAGCTTTGTTTACAGGCTCTGGAGGGTTATTTTAATTGAAGTTTTCAGGAGGCCACTGGACTGGCCATTCAGAGGACTAAAACCACTAGGGACTCATGCTTCGCTGGTGAATTTTTCCAGGTAAAGTCTGGAGACTACATAGTCAAATTTATATCTTCCTTGATAGTGAAACTAATTAGAAGCCAGAAGGAAAGAAACCCACAAAGTAGAAAGTTTCATTTTAGTTAGCAGTCTGGGAAATAAGAAGGAGAAGATATTAATATATTTTCTTCTGAGCTTAGGAAAATCTTTTTATTAATCTCTATTGATTTTGTGCCTCTCTTCTCAATGTATTTGAAATATAGTTGTATATTTATGAACAGGCATTAAACACAAGGCTTAGTAGAGTCTTTGCTCTTAGGGATGTTAAAACCCAGTAGAAAATAAAGTGTGTTTAATGTAAATGAAGGTGAATGATGGCATGTGTTTGGAAACTGATTTATTTGAAAAACTTTCTCTAAGATGTTTCTATTAAAACATAAGTAAGCTCACCCTTTCTCATCCCCTCCTTTTGTGGTGGAAAACTTGAAAACCTATCTTTAGAAGTTTTTTCTGATTTCCCCTTTTTCCTTCTAAAGATGGAAAATAAAAACCACAGATGTGGCTGCTAAAATTTGTTCATTTTAGCAGTCATTTTCTCATTTATTTTCATTTCTTTTTTTTTTTTAAGATTTTATTTATTTATTTTTAGTGGGGTGGGGGAGGGAAAAAGAGAGGGAGAGAAGCATTGATCTGTTGGCTCTCGCAGACCCCCAACTGTGGACCTGGCCCTGCAACCCAGGCACGTGCCCTGACGGGGAATAGAATGGGCAGCCTTTCAGCTTGGCTTGCGGGACTACGCCCTACCCACTGAGCCACACCAGTCGGGGCTCATTTATTTTCATTTCTAATTAGTATTTACCACTTCCAGTCCTTCCTTCTTTTTATTTTCTCATGCTTCTTTTCTTCTCATTCTGTTTCTGCTCTTCCAGAAATGGCCATAACAAACTTTGCGCTACTGTTGAGTTCTGGGTCCCAATGTCTTTGGATAATTTTGGATTAGCCTTTTAATCTTTTCCTCTCTTTTCCCTTTGTTGACACACTGCCATTGTGAGTTAATGAAATATGATTCTTTTGCATATGACAAATCACAGAAGCTTCTGTTAAAACCTTCAGCATCTGTAATTTTAAGTCTTTGATTTGTGCTATGGGCAGCGAGGTATTAACGATTATGCCTTCCATGCAGAAAAGGAACAGCAGGGCTTCTTGTGGTTATTAAAAATTATATCCTTCATTTCCTGAGAGTAGCAGTGCCTGCCCTGGCAGTGTTAAAACTTTCCAGCAGTGGTAACTAGAAACACCCACCAGTGGTACATTTCTGAGACGATGAGAGTAAGGAAGCATTAAAACTGTGATTTTGATGGTGGGTGGCAATTACAAGGTGTTTTTGGTCTAGTTTTTCGAGGAAAGCCTAGGGAAGGTTTCTTTGGAAACATGAATAGCATAGCAGTAATGGATCCTAATCGATGTACTGAGCTTTTTTGAAAGATGGCATTCCATAAAACTCTCTTGAGGGTTTGTGGCCAACTTCCAAACTGAAATGCTGTTTTGTCACATTTTTACTGCTGTTGATATTAGCTGCACAATGCTGATGCCAGCCTTGTTATTATACATGCAAATATGTAATTTAGGTCAAATTTCTTAGTTAAAAAATGCTATGAAATTCTTATAAAAATTAATGTCAACCACTGCCTCTGAAATAGCAGATTCTTTTTGCAACAAAGATTATGGCCCCATGAAAAAGAAAAACGTTAGTTTTCTTTTGAATTAGATGATATTTTTGAAATGTGCTATTAAAAATGAGTACTTTTAAAATTCAAGCTTACTGATTACAAATACTATGCCTATGATTGAGAAATCACTTAGAATATAGGTGGATATAGATGCAAATTTTTATTCTAAATAACAAATCAAATCAAGCAATATATTAAATGATATTCCCTGATCATTTTGAGTTATTCAAAGAATTAAAGAATGGCATTAGATTAGAAAATTTATTTACTACATCACATTTGTATTTGGAAACATTGCCGGCCAATTGCTCACTAAGCCCATTTCTTCTCCTTCCAAGGGACACACCTAGACTACATTTTCTAGACTCCCTTGCAGTTAGGTATGGATCTGTGTTTGAATTCAGGCAAATGGAATGTAGCTGGAAATTATGTGTGCCCCTTCCTTCTCTGATCCGTAAAATTACTGTCTCTCCTTCCACCTGCTGGCTGGGTCCAGAGAATTCTGCAGAGGAATCTGAAGTCCTAACGGATAGCAGATCACAAGATGGAAATGATGGCTTCCTTAAAATCATCATTTGAAAAGCTACTTCAAGGACACTTGCACCTCACTGTCACTTGATAGCTTTTTAAGCTACTAAGGATTTTGAGGACTTGTTACAGCAGTAAGCCTACTTTGGCTAATACTGATAGCAAAAAGATAGTTGATAAAATCAACACCTGCTGCTAACTTTTAAAAAATTGAAAGAGAATTCTTTGTTACTTTGTTAAAATGTTTGTATCAAATGTCCACATTATTCTTAATGATTATGTACTACAAGTGTTTTCATTAAAATAAAGAAATAAGAGGAGGTTCCAAGATGGCAGCAGAGGAGGCAGATGTTACATTCACCTCCTTCCAGGACCAAACTGGAACTACAACTAAAATACAGAGCAATCAGCATGAATAACCAATTGAAGACTAGCTGACCAGAAGTTTTATAACCAAGGACTCACATTGGAAGCCACATCAAAACTGGTAGGAAGGGTGGAGATGTGAATATGGCTGGTCCCACTCTCACGGGTGATGGCTGAAATTCTGGAGGGATATCTCAGCTGCAAAGTTTCCCCCCAAGAAGCATGGGGTCTCAATCTCTGCTGCTCCCCAGCCCAGAGCACCAGAGCCAGGAAGAGGCATCCACATATGTCTGTGAAAATCAGCGGGGATTCTCTCTCCCAGGGAGATATGGCAGTCTACTAGAGACGCACGTGCCCTCTTAAAGGGCCAACACAAAATCTCATTCACAGCCATTTACCCAGGGCAGAAAAAGACAAGTGATTTCACTTATATGTGGAACCTAAAAACCAAACTAAAGAAAGCAAGCAGAAACCAACTCACAGATAGAGTGAACAAATTAATGGTTGCCACATGGGAGGGGGATTGGGTGAAAAAAGTGAAGGGATTAAGAAGTACAAATTGATACAAAACAGTCAAGGGGATGTAAAATATAGCAGATGGAATATAGTCAATAATAATGTAATAACTATATATGGTGTCAATGGGTACTAGATTTATTAAAGTGATCAATTCGTAAGACATACAGATGTCTAATTACTATGTTGTACACCTGAAACTAATATTGTATGTGCACTGTAATTGAAAAATAAAAAATTATTTAGAACTAAAATAAAATAAAAAGAAGCTTCTGGCTTATTAGTTATGGAGCCACTGATGTGAAAAATTATACTACTTCCTGGGCCAGGACCACAATATGTAACACAGAATATTCCACAATCTCTTATGTAAAGAAAATTTTATTACTGAAAAGATCACATAAAACAAAGTGTTTGTATACAAACTTAACAAATGTGGAAAAGTTAATATTTACAACATTTTCCCATACAGTGCATGATAATTTTCTTTTTATGCTTTAACAGAATGCTAAATAGAGAAAAAAACAAAAGCATCAGAAAACCTGTTTGAGGAATAATGATTAATTGGAAATAAAATTAAGAAAATTTTTTAGTATTTTTAAAGTGTGTTATATGAAAGACATTTTACTTTCAGGACTACATTTTTTTCCTTTTAATTGGCACTAATATTGCTAACACACTTTTTAATGTTCAGAAAAATTCTATTTAGCTACTGGAATGAATTCTACATATTATCTGAGAAAGATATTGCACAAATACAAAGCATTTGTGGTATTCTAAATGTTAGAAAACAAAAGTTGAAACAAAAGTATACACAACTGTAAATGGTCATAATAATACAATATTGGGTGGTCACGAAACATTAAAAAAAAGAAAATCAATTGCACTTGGCTTAATTTATAAAATAACATTTCATCTACTAATCCTTCAGGAATTTTATTTTTAAAATGCAGAAGGATCAGCAACCAACATAATACAATCAACATTAGATACTCTTTCAAGAAGCACCTTATTTCAGTTGCACAATAGAGCCGTGAAATTCCTGAAATAATAAGACTTTATAAAATTCACACATTGAAGATGATAAGGTAGAATAAGTGGATTTTTTTAGTTGAAGTCTCATTATAACACCTTCTGGTGTGCCAACTATTTTTTATACCACAAAAGAATACTATTTTTCAATTTTCTTAGAAATTCAGTGTAAAAGCTACCAAAGTAGTGTGAAAATAAAATATCAGAATAACATAGTAAAATATTTGAGTAGATTTTCCAGGATTTCTAATAAAACTTCAAATACATATAAATTTACTTTCAAACATATAAAAAAGATACAAAGATACGTTTTTAACACTTCAGCAAAAAAATCTTGATTTTTATATCATAAATGGGAAATAGCACAGTATACCTTAAAATACTTTTAACAGGAGTAGAATCTTCATAAATAAAAGAAGATTCCTCTCCCTTCCTCCTCCCATGCAATTTAAAAAATACTATTAACCTACACATTTCTGTTTTTCAGGTATATTGTTATCGTTAACTTCTGTGTGAAATGAGTCATATTATTCACAGCATCTATTGTTTCCAGTGTAACAGCAGGCAATGTAGCTTTAAGTACAAAAGAAGACTATTACAGTGATTCATATACGACAGTGTAGCGGTCACCTCCAGTGTAACACAAATTCGCTTCTAAGTAACGGGATAACCTAGTTTTCAAGTATCTGAGTGACTGCCAGAGCCCTGCTCTTTTCTAATTCCAGAGGCCGAGTGAACAAGCAGTGATGTGGAGCCTTTCAGGCTGCTTGGTTCTGAAGAACTGGGGACCTGCAAGTTGTTGCTCTGCACCAGGCCAGTTTCAGTGACATCACTTTTTGGAGTGGCCCTAGGTAAAAGAACAAAAGTTGACAGACATACATACCAAGCGCAAATGTGATGCCAGATGTCCTTAAAACTGCTATCCACTCTTCATGAGTTTTATTTCCAACCGCTGTCCACTGTTATCACAGGGTAATTAACTAAATCTCCTTATGTCTGCTCTGACACCTCAGAATACAAATGCTTCATCTTCAAGTAATTTGTGCTAACTTTAGAAACTGTCAAGCACCACCCATACATAGGCTGAGCATGATATCTCATGGGGAATACAATTAATAAGATGATTCCTTATTAAGGAATTCCTGATTTGCTTGCATTAGCAAACATTTTATTGATTTTCCCCATGGATCAGACGCTATGTAAGTGATTGGGAATACAAAGATAAGCAAGACCTCGGCTCAGCCTTTAAGGAGTTTACAAATCTAGTAGAGGATAAAAACATGCATCTAATTACAATCCAGGCATGCAAAAGCTATTAGAGGAACACAGAGAAAGTGTATTTGGCCTACTTTGGGAGGGTGATGTAAGACAACCTTGACTCCTTCAAGTAATTGTCAGCATTCTGGCTAATTTCACATATACCTGTGTTTGGGTCACCTATGACTATATGAAGATAATGTCAATATCCTTGCATGCTCAGAAAATAAAATCATCTTATAATCATCTTTGTCTAAACTGACAACTACCTTTTAGACACTATTGTAATACAGTACTAATTATTTTTTTAAAAGATGTTATTTATTTTTTAGAGAGAGGGGAAAGGAGGGAGAAAAATGCTGACGTGTGAGAGAAACATCAATCAGCTACCTCCAGGCCAGGCATGCGCCCTGAGCAGGAATCGAACCAGTGACCTACTGGTTCCCAAGCCAGCGCTCAACCCACTGAGCTATGCCAGCCAGGGCTGTAATACAGTACTAATTAAAACTTAGCCTGAAGATGACAACAGAGTAGGTAGAAGTTACACTCACCTCCTCTCAGGACCAAACTGGAATTACAGCTAAAATAGGATCAACCTTATTAAAACTTAGCCTATCTGTCTCATGAATCTTAAACAGTTACCTAAATATACATGCAAGTCTTAACAATTACCATAGAAATGAAAATTACTGTTCTACTTGAACAACATACATGAAGGCTCTTCTCAATGCTAAGACTTAAACTACAAAATAGTACACTTAGAGGCTGAACTTCAACTTAAAACCACAATTCCTTGGATTAGGTATATAAACATATCATCTCGTCGAATGCCTTCTTTCCAAACACATTATGCGTTAATAAAAAACAGATTATGCAGTGTTCACAATAGTCATGATGTAAGATGACAAAACCGAAGCTCACCTGCCCTCACTCCGCGCACCGTCACTCTTGTCATTCACAGGGCCTGCCCGGCCTTTCCGGTCGGCCTGCTCCCCACAGAGTTTGGAGCTGGACACCGCAGGGGAGGCAGGCTCCCTACAGTCCTGTTCTCTTGACTTGGGAGTGCTCACTCCATCTTCTCTCACTTCCCTCACTGATGTTTCTGGAGAAGTTTGAATCTCTGTCAAAGTCTCTTGTCCTAAGTAATCGTGGTTAGTGATTGCTACTGCAGAAGTGCCATGATTTGGTGACGTTCCTGTGCTGGTTCCCATGGATTTGGAAATGACCTTCAGCTTATGTGAACTTGGTTTGTAGTGCTTCTTTTTGTGTTTAACTTTAGAATTGTGCTTTAAGAAAAACTCACATGACTCCTGCAGTACTCTTCGACTTTCACTGATTGGACTGTAAGGAAATTCAAGGAGAGGATTTACTTACAAATGTTAAGTGGTATGGTAGCAGCCATAAAGCATAGCACATAGCTGTGCTAAAAATCCTTATTCGATAAAGTTAAAAATTACATAAGATAAATATACAAAATCTGGGATGATAAATACTATGGATATACGTATATTGTCACAGAGTGAAATCTTTATGACAACAGTTTGTTGCTTTTGTAAGCAAAAGCAGTAGACTGGGAAGGAATTAAATAGGCGAAATGAAAGAATGAGGGCAAGGAAACACAAACCAGCCTAAAGCAGAGGACTAAACTGAACGCATGCCATGTGTAAGTACAGCAAACATAAAAGTAATCCAAAAGAGAGAGGACACAGAATATTTGTGGTCTTTGCTTAAATTCTGTTTTCTTTCTAGCATTAAAGGTGGCAAGTTATACTGAAGTTAGTGTGGATATATATATTTATACTACACTTGATCTTAGCCAAAAGGTCGAGAAGCGATGGATATATATATATTTATAAATATGGAATAGACATATAATAGCAGTGCAAAAAATTCAAAGTCCAGTTAAATGCAGTTCTTTGGATTTCAAAAACTTATTTGTGAAAAAGTCTACAGTTCTGAAACTTTTATCGCAATAAGTTCATTAATCAAACCAATGGGGAACAGTTTAAAAAGCTCTATTGTACACTGGTGGCAGTACATAGTATACAATGAATGTAAAGAATTAAACTGAACTATGTACTCATAAATGTAAATTGTTTTTGTAAATGTAAATTGTAAATTGTACTATATTGTTACAGAACATTCCTTAAGTTTGAATTTTTACCATCTTAGGCAAAGTAAATAAGTGAAATTTTAACTCAATATTGTGTGTAATAAAATTTGAAGGTAAATTATGATCATAACACATCACATTTGAATCACACTTTACAAATTTCCTTACATATATTTGATCCTACTTAATCTTTTACCATTGCTAAAAAGGATAAAATTATTTAAAGTGCTACACCCAAAATAGTGACTCCAATGAAAGCAGTAATAATATCAAGATATATTATAAGCCATGGAATGAAAATACACATTTTACAAATCTTTCATTCATATTTCAATAGAATAGTATATGTCGAAGACTATTATAATGAATGCCAATGTAAAGCATTTCTCTCCATGAAGATTTCTAAACTTGAAACAGTGATATAATAAAGCTCCAGTACAGTGATGACTTTTAAATAGTTTCTTGGTATTTGAGCTATTTAGTTTTAAAACAATGTGAGATAATTCAATAGGTTCTTACTCTCTCTTGCGATTTCGTTTAAAAAATCCAGCCCATTCTGTGCATGTCTTCTTGCTTCCAACCCAGAACACGGCAGAGATGCCGACAATTAATGTCATCAGATATTTTATCATAAATAAAGCCAATTCTGGTCGAGCTATTGTTTTTGCCTGTAAAAAAACAGTGAGTAATAGAAATTTTAGTGATACATTCTTAAGTGGAGAAAAGTCTATATAGTCAATGTAAAATGTGAACAAAAAACATAGTCTGTTTTATTATAAAATATTTGATACAACATATTACATAATGATCAGTACCTTAAGTGTAATACATTATTTACCTAAGTTCTGAACAAATAACCTCATATGTGTGTCATATTATATAGCTAAAAAGGGAAAAATACTTAAATACATTTAGGAAGGATGTCCTTCCTAATCTTGGCTTGATTTCCTGACCTTTTTCCTGCAGAAGTATACTTACCAAATATTTGCCTCTAAATATTCATCTTTTTCCTTCACTTTACCACAAAAAATACATTTAAATTCATTATACAACATACTATTTTAGAACCTTACACATTGTTGATGTTTATGTTATAAAAACTTGGTTAGAGCAAAATAAATATCATTAAAGTGAAAATATGGAAATTTCATAAAAATTAAATCATTCTTTCAAGGATAACTTTCTAATATTATTTTTACATTTCACAAATGTCACACCACTATATATACATTTTGTATTATATCTTGCTTTTTTTCACTACTGTTTCTTGGAGACCATTGTATATTGATAGAAATAAAGCTCTTCATTTATTTTTAAAGGCTGTCCTACTGTGTGGATGAAGCATAATTTACTCAAGTACCCTTATTAATGGATATTTAGGTTATTTCCAACCTATTGCCATTGCAAATAATCTTACAGTGACCATCTTTGTATGTATGCAATCACTCACATTTGTGAGCAGATTTGTCAATAAATTCCCATAAGGGCAAGATCAAGGAGTATGAGCATTTTAAATGATAGATACTGTCAAACTGCTTTCCATGGGAGGTTGAACTAATTCAACAACAAAAAATGTGTATTTTGCCAGAATTTCACTCATGCAGTGGCTACAAAACTTTCAGATGTTTGCCATGTCATATATAGACATATAATTTTATTCTAATTTTAATTTGTATTCCTCTTATAACATTTTGTACATTTAAGAGGGTTCCTTTTCCGTGAACCCTGTTCATATATTTTTTTTCATTCCTATATCAGATTGTGGGTATTTTCTTATGGATCTATAGGAATTATGTATAAATTAAGGATTTCAAAAACTTATTTGTGAAAAAGTCTACAGTTATGAAGGAAATATGCCCTTCAATTATGATGTAATGTATAAGTAAATTTTCCAAGCTGGTTTTCTGACTTTAGTTATGATGGGGTCTGTTGCCATGCAAAAAAAAATTTATTTTACTTAGTCAAATTTAGCAATCCTTTCTTTTATAGTTCCTGAATTTATATCATACTTATAAAGTTCTACTCCACTTTAAGTTTAAAATTTTCTCATTTTATCTTCTAATACTTTATAGTTTTTTTCTTTACAAGAAACATAATTTTTAAAAACCACAGATCTTAAAACTGTTTTATTAGTATATAATGGTTGTATTTTCCTCCTACTTTGCCAAAAGTACTAAAAATAGGAAACATTTAATATATCAGAACCATTTTAAGAGATAGCTCCCTTATTTAAATATATAGTAAAAATAGCCTATGGATAACTGACTATAGACAGTAAGGCAAGTAAAACTATTATTCCCACCCATCAGTATATAAAATATGTTAAAATGTAGTAACTTTCTAGAATATAAATTATGTAAAATGATTCAGCCTACATATTGTTTGATTTGATACATTATGATGATAGTACTCACAATCAATATAATTTATATATCATGTATAAATATTCAAAAATGTATAAAATCTATTAAAAACAAAATTTTCTATTAAAAACTCAACTAAAATGCTTTAAAAATTTTTCTGTTTTCAGGAATTTTTTTTTAATCTTAAAAACACCTCCTTTATACTATTCATAAACATCAAGAACACATGAAACACACTTTATTTCAATTGTACTTTTTTAAGTTAAATGATGGGATGGTTTAGGCAAAAATCATTTTCTGTTTTTGTAAGTGAATATTCTGTAAAAAATTGTAATATGATCAAATTAAATATATCCAAATAAAGTTTTCCCCTGTTAACTGAAGAACTTAAAACTCCCAATTCAGAAGTGACAATACTTCTCTTTTTCTCCCTATGCCAAGACTTGTTCTTTTGATTCTTTTCTTCATTACTATTAATCTTCCATTGCAACCCATGTAATTTTTAAAAGAATAGCTAAAGGAGGCACTATTATTGTAACAAAACTAAAAAAACCTTAAGACACTTATCCCCGTTTCAACTGATATATAGGGAATCAATCCTATGTCTACTGGATTTCTCACCTAAAATCTTAATTTATGTTCAAAACTAATTCAAGTATATTTCCAGGAAACATCTTCTAAGTTAAAATTAAATCATGAAACAATAGAAATGATAGCTGTTTACCTGATAAGGACATGGGATGTGGTACTGACGACAATGGTCAGAGACCCAAGTTATCTCCCAGGTAATCCTGTTCACTTGCTCATAGACATAACATCCAAGAAGTGTCACTAATGGCACAAGATACAGGCCACTGAAGACTCCAATTCGAATCATAAATTTCTTTAGTTTCTCTTGGTTACGGCCATCATGTTGTATAACTTGTCGAACATGATTTAAGGAAATAATGCCAGCTAAAAGAAGAGACAGCCCAACAAACACACAAAGGCACAGTGGCAAGAGTACAAAGTAGCGAGAAGCAGTCAGGTCATAAAGGCCAACAAAGCAAACTCCACTAATGTTGTCTCCCTCAACTTTGTTCATAGCAAGAAGCATAATAGTCAGAAAACCTGGTACTCCCCATGCCACAGCATGAAACCACACTGCTTTCTGTTCAATGGCTTCACAGCTCCATTTTCTCCCTGCAGCTAAGAACCATGTAATGGTAAGAATCACCCACCACACAGTGCCGGCCATGGTGAAAAAATACAAAAACATAAACAAAACGGTGCAGGCCTTATTTTGAGAGCCCAGAACAACTGTATCACCAACTTCTAGCTTCTCATCTGCCTTATTGCAAGCTGTGCTATTGCCTAGCAAGAATCCAATAAAATACATAAGAGATACAATGCTGTAACAGACAGAGTAATATATAATTGGTCTCTCTGGGTATCTGAATCTTTTCACATCAATTAAAAAAGTAAGGAATGTGAACAGGGTTGCACAAAGACAAAATATTGAAACTATTCCGATGAAACTTTTCGCAAACTCTAACTCATCACTTTTAAAATACATGTTGGGGCATGGAGGAGCGCATTGGTCAATTCCCAGAAACTTGTAGCCTTGTCCCCCAGAAGTCTTAAGATGCCTTGGACACCAAATTCCAATGTCTCTTTGGACTTGTTCTGTTTTCTTCTGAGGACCAAGAAACTCTGTGTGTGGATCAAGAGTTACAGGAAAAGTCTCATCACAATACTTTAATCTGTAAAGATTATAAAAATTAAATATATAAGGTCAACATTTTTATTGAGTCACTATTTTTTAATGCTGTGCTTTCCAACTATACAATATTTGCCTATGTATTCATAACTGATGGGAAGACACACAAACCTATCTACATAGATTACAGGTTAGAGTTGGGTAAAAAGTTTTGAAGTTGACTAAAAATTTGTGGTTGTTAATGTGGCCCTAACACACTAACAAACGAGGTCCGTCCAGAAAAAGTCCAGCTATTGTTCATATAATGAGAATGGTTTGGGCGACACTGATGTCCAGCAGTTGTTAATATAACGAGAATGGTTTGCACAGCATCAATGTAACCTGGCAGCAAAGGAGAGTAGACTGGAATGTGCATATGTGAACAATGACAATTTCACTGTACTAGTCAGTGGGGGTGGTAGATGCTATTGAGTGAGCACATGTACTGTGTGGCCCTCGCAGTCAAAGTGACTGAGCGAGTAGAGTAATGAATCTGCATCAGATTTTGTGTTAAGCTTGAATATTCCTCCACGGAAACTCTTCTGACTGGGCCACTGGTGACTGGGAGCTTCATCACAACAACGCACTCGTGCATCACGTCTCATGCAGAGTTGTTTGGCAAAACATCAAATCACCCAGGTGACTCAGCCTCCCTACAGACCAGATTTGGTGCTCTGAGACTTCTGGCTTTTCCCAAAATTAAAATCACTTTTGAACAGGAAGAGATTTCAGACCATCGATGAGATTCAGGAAAATATGACAGGGCAGCTGATGGCGACGGGGAGAACTGTGTGAGGTCCTGAGGTGCCTCCTTTGAAGGGGACTGAGGCATCATTGTCCTATGTATGATGTTTCTTGTATCTTGTATTTTCTTCAATGAATGCCTCTATTTTTCATATTACATGACTGGATACCTTCTGGACAGACCTCACATATATTAAATACAAGGCAAGTGAACATAAAAATCTCCTTACTTAGAAATCAATCAATTAATAATTTTAAAATAATGTTTGCTCTCAAGACTAAATATTTAAGAAAAATTTATGTTGCTTCACACTCTCCAGAAATAGAAGTTCTGGCTTGTCTGCTTATGAGCATACAAAATATAAGTCTTAGGAAAATTAAATTTTATTATCTAGTTCCCACAAGTTAAGTAAATAAACCACGTAATTAAGGTGATAACTGAAATAAAATTCTTTCCTGGATTAGTAGGGTAAAGTTCAAGAGATCTCTAAGTTATTAAAGACGGGCAAGAAGATCCCCAAGAGGTAGGCTGAGGACTAGCCTTACTCACATCACCATTTCGTTTGGTTTGGCTCTTTGCCTCCCTGTTTACAGGTTTACCTGAGTGATAACACAGGAGTATTGTTTTTGTGCAGAACTTTATCACTGAGTTCAATTTCTGTGTTCCGGTATTATTTTGAAAGATCTATATGGTTTAAAAATTAGTGGGAGTTTTAATGAGAAAGCATTTTAAATGTGCTTAGATAAGAATAGAAAATAATAAAATAGATGCCCATAAAAATAATACTCAATGCCCACCGGCTTTTTCAAAAATTAGTATTATGTCAGTTTTGCTTTATATCTTTTAAAATAAAGCAATATAACATTACAGAAAAAACTGGGACCTGTTTCTGGTTTTACTCTCCTTTCTCTCTCCAAAAATATTCATTACCGCAAGTTTGGTTTTTATTCCCCTCATGTATTTTGTTTTTAGTATTCTTACTATGTTATTTTCTAACTATAGTGTTATATAGTTGTTTCACAGGTTTTGGACTTTATGTAAGTGACATTATGCTGTATACATCATACTCTAGCTTCCTTTTATATTAAACTCTAACATTTTTAGGTTTATCCATATTGACAGACGTGGGTCAACTGCATTCAATTTATCAATTGTATGTTAGTATTCTAGCATGTAAGTACATCACAGTTTACTCAACTTTTTAAAAACAGACTTTTAGACTTTTCCCCATTAAACAAATTAAGAATAATGCTACATGATTCGTTGTTGGTGTAAAAGTCTCTATGTAAGATTTCCTAGGATGTAGGGTATGAGCATCTTCAACTTTTCTATATATAGTTGATCCTTGAACAATATGGGTTTGAACTGCATGGGTCCACTTATGTACAGATTTTTTCCAATAAATAATTTAAGTATAATTTTCTCTTTCTTATCATTTTCCTAATTACATCTTTTTTCTAGCTTGCTTTAATGTAAGAATACAGTATATAATACATATAACACAAAATATCTGTTAACTGATAGTTTATGTTATTGGTAATGTTTCTGGTCAACAATAGGCTATTAGTAGTTAAGTTTATGGGAAGTAAAAAATGCACGAATTTTTGACTGCATGGGAGGTCGGCGCCCCTAACCCCTGCATTGTTCAAGGATCACCTGTATTACTCAATTGTTCATGAAAATGATTATGAATCTGCTAGAAATTCATGAGTTCTACAAAGTTTCTTCACTTTCCAGATAAAGAAACAAAAAGGTAGCCAGCTTCCTTCCCAGATTTATTATATGAGTTCTCATTATATCAGTAGACTATTTCAAATTACAAGCTACCATTGTCCAGAGAAAAAGTGACAAAAGTAATTAATCAAGGCTAATGTGCCAAAAGGTCGGTGAATTGATAATAAGGTTTATTTCCCCCCAGGTAAGGTCAAAGGCACCATTACATGTTCTCAAAGAACTACGCACCTCTCCTTTGCTATCTCTAACACAGTTGTACATTTGCATTTCTTTGTATAGTTATTTGATTATTCTCCTTTCCTTCCACCCCACTGTAAGTTTCCTGAGAATAAGAACCAAGTCTGTTTTTACTCATCACTGTGTCCGCAACACTTATCACCTCAGTGCCTGGTGTATATTAAGGTGTAATAAACATGTTGAATCAGATAATGAAAGCCTGTCACTAACATTTTGGAAAGCTAACACCAAACAATATTAAAACATCATGATCATAAGAGTTTCCAGTTGGAAACGTAACTTACCTGTCACATTTAAGTTCCTCAGGCCATTGGATCCCAAAAGTGTCAATTAATTTTTTACAATCAGAATATACTTTCTCACAAAATTTACGACAAGGTGGAACCACATGAATTTGCTCTGTGCAGGTTGGTACAAAAGCTTTGCAAAGGAAAGTTTCAACATTTGGTGAGCATTCCAGATTTGCAAGAGGAAGAAAGAGCTATTAAGAAAAACAGCAAGATTAATGTTAGAAAACATTTTAATAACAAACAGAGAAGTTAATTTATTTACTGTTTAAAGTATATACATTTTCACTTATACTCCAAGAGAATCTTTAACTATTACTCTCAATACAATCAAATTTTGAGGTCATTTTGTTTAGTCTGTTAGACTTAGGAGCCTTCAGACACATGCAATAGTATTTTATTCTATTAATAATTTTTCAAGAAGACATGTTAAATCAAAGCAAATCAAAAGCATGAGTTGATTGCTGGGTGAAATAAATTACACAAACATTCAATTTATAAGTATATGATGAAATATTCAACACCCTAACACTGTACTGAGTACTCTAGGGAATAAAGCAACTTGGGGGGCAGAGGGAGCCGCGTGTAAAAGATGTGAGGATCACGAGAGAACATGGTGCATTCAGGCCAAGAAGTTGTGCCTAGAACATTAGGTCAAAAGGTGGAATCAAGGAGGTACTAGAGAGAGGAATAAGACCAGAGTATGCTGGATCTGATCATGGAGAACACAGATGACAGGTTAAGTTGCTTGGATTTTAATATACAGAAATGGGATATTATTGGAGAGTTTTAAGCAGGAAGTGACTCTACATGTAGTCTGACAGCTGAGTGTGAATTGTAGGTCCAGACTTACTGGCTGTGCATCTCTGCCAAGTTACTTAACTTCTGTTTTAGTTTCTTCATCTGCAAAGTGGCAACAATAACAGTAGCTGTCTCATAAGATTGTTGTGAATATGACGTTAATAAGTGTAAGCATTCAATAAATGTTAGTCATTGTGATGCTTATACTTTAGGGCATAGGGATGGGCCCTGGATAAACATGCTATTTTGACCAAATGTGTTTATCTCCTTTCCCTTGTTTCCTTACTAAAAAGACAATAAAGAAAAAAATGGTATTAACCCATTAGTAAGTGAACAGGAACAACTACATTAGTGTATTTGAATTTTCCAAAGAACAGAAACGTCTAAAGAGAAAGTCCCAAAACTTTGAGTGACAGAAAGCTATTGGAGGAGTGAGAGGTGATTTATGTGGACATGGGAGTGGCTTACAAAATAGGAGAGGAGGGATTCATATGAAAATAAACTGATTTGTCCCAAAGAATCTGAGAGTCTCAGTTCTTCCAGGTATCAAGTAGCATAAAAGGCTAAAACTGAAGGAATGTTGACAAGTCAGCTCTTCTCTATGTTTTTCCTCTCCCCATCCTGGGAAGCCAGATGCCACCAAATTCTACCAGGGTTGTTTCCAGGAGAAATGGAGCTACAGATGTTCTTGCACTCAAGCTACCTGACACAAATCCATGCAAGATACAGCACAGAGTGAAAAGAGATTGATCTGAGTAACAGTCTATCTAGTGAAATGGGAAGCCCTTGTCCCTTTCCTGCCCTGTCCCCAAAAGACTGGTATATAGGCATATACCACCATCCCCAATTTTTGAAAAAAACTTAACAGTCTTGGAGGACGAAACCTCCACATATTGACAATGAAAACGCTTGAGTTCACCTTACTGTGAAGCCCACCAGTAACAATCCCCATTATTGCACATGGAGCTTTTCAATGCACACAAATATAAATGGGTAGCCAAGCATCATCAGGCATTTGAAGAAAGCCTTATAAGAGACAGGGACCAAAACAAGCAAGGAGATAAAAGGAAATTAGGAGGAAACAGCTTACGCAGGGGACAGAAGAACACGAAACAAAATAAATCACAAAATAAACAAAAACATTAATATCTTAAATGAGAAGTGATTACATTCATTAAAAAAGAATAGCATGCTATGGAAAATTAAAATAATAAGATGGCTGAAATAAAGAATTCTATAGAAGGATTAGAAGACAAAGCTGAGGGAAGAGATGAACAATTAGAGAGAAAATCCTCTTAATCAGAGGATCAGTCTAAGTGTGCAACCTCTGACTACACGGGCTTTAGAAAGAAACAACAGGGGAAAATGGAAGTGAGGGAGTGAGGAATATGACATTTCTCAGAGCAGAATACCAGCTTCAAAATGAAAAGGCCAGCATCACACTTTGCAATCCTACCACTAGAACATTTCTGGGCTAAAACTTTAATTAACTCTCTTTAAAGAGATCTCTTTCACCTTTCTCCTTTCTTTTCAAACCTCCAATTCCACATCCCATCTTAGTTGATGATTTTGTTCCTAGTTCATTGAGAAAACAGAAACCAGATAATTCCCTCACTCTCTAACTAAATGTACCAACATACCTTCAACTTAATCCATATTCTCTGCAATGGAAGAACAGCTTGAACTCCTAATCAACCAAGTCCTCCACCTGTACACTGGATTCTGCCCATTTGACTAGCTAAGGACTTTGTTTCCGCACTTGTCTCCTATTCTGGCTATAATTTCTGTTGTCTATTATATAGTGATTCCTCCATCAGACAAACTTGCTCTATTACCTCCCACCATTAAAAAAAAACAACAACACAAAACCCACAAAACAATACCTTTTCAAAACAATACTCTATATCCCAACCCCACCTAGTTGTTGTTCCATCTTCCTCTTCCCCTTTATAAAAAAAATCCTCAAAACAGTTGTGTATGCTCACCTTCTCCAATTCCACTCTTCCCATTCCCTCTTGAGTCCACTCTCCAAACAGGTTTTGTCTCCCATGCCCCAGTGAAAGCTGCTTTCAGAGTCAAAATAACCTCCTCATAGTCAAATGCAATGGTCAATTCTGAGTCATCTACTCCAATCTTAACAACTTTTGACATAGTGGACTGCCCTCCTGAGATATAAGTACTTTTTTAACTTGGCTTCTAGAATGCCATTTCCCCTGGATTTCTACCTATCTTGCTGGCTGTTTGTTTTCTTTTCAAATTGATTTGGGGGCGGAGGGAGAGAGACAGGAGGGCGGGGTGGGGGAGAGAGAGAGAGAAACAGAGACATCGATTTGGGGATCTACTTAGTGACGCATTCATTGGTTGATCCTTGTACGTGCCCTGATCAGGGCTGGAACCTGCTACCTTGGCGTATCGGGACAATGCTGTAACCAACTGAGCTACCCAGCCAGGCTGGCTTTCTTTTTCTGATCCTCTTCCATTTCCCAATTCTAAATTACGCAGTGCCCCCAGAGCTCAATCCTCAGACTGCTTCTCACTTCTTGGGGGAAACTCATCCAGAACCATGGAATTAACTAACAACTATACATGAAAAATTCCCAAATTATCTCTAACATCCAACTCTCCTGTGAACCCTACACCTGAATGACCACCCACCCCCTGGACAATTCCAAGTGCTGTCACCATGCATCTCAAAACCATGTCCAGAACATAACTCAATGCCCCTGCATCCTCTCCCCCAAATACTCCGTCTTCCCCATCTCTATAAGGTGGTACTACCCACCATCCACCAAGTTGGGTAGGATGGCCAAGTCAGGCCAAGGATCTAAAGATTCATTCTTTTCTCTTTCTCTTACCCCATATCCAATCCATCAGCAAATCCTGTTTGTTTTCCCTTCAAAATATATTTCAAGTCTATTTCCCACTCCTACTACCCAATCTAAGCCATTACATCTTCTACCTAGACTACCAAAACCTTCTAAGAAGTCTTACTACTTCTTACTCTTGCTAATTCTAGTTAATTTTCATACCAATCCATACTCCCACCAATGTGATCCTTTAAAATCTGAGTTTTAAAAGTCTTACATTGTTCAAAAGACTCCAATAAAATAAGTTCCAAAGTCCTTACCAAGCCCTATGAGGCCTTACATTTCATGGCCCCTGGCTATGTCTCCAGTTTCACTTCCTATCATTCTTCCTTGTACTCGCTCTTGCCACCAAACTGGCTTTTTGCTTCTTATTTCAAGTATATTTGTCTCAGAATCTTTGCGTTTACTCTTCCTTTACCTAGAACATTCTTCCACCAGTTAGTAACAAAGCTTGTGTCCTCATTTATTTGGGTCTCTGCTGAACTGCCACCTCAGAGTCATTCCCTGCCCATTCTATGTATAAATTGTCCTGTCATTCTCTGTTCCATCACACCATTTTGTATTTCTTTATCACTATCTGGCATTTCATTAAATACTAGTTTATTTCTTAATTTCTGCCTTCACCACTAGAATATAAATTCCATGAAGGAAGAAATTTTGTCTGTTTTGTTCTCTGTTATATTCCCAGTTCCTAGAACAGAGTGTGTGTATATACATATATATTTCTATTTATTTATTTATTTTTATCCTCTTTGGAGGACCTGCTTATTGATTTTAGAAAAAGGGAACAGGAAGAAGACAGGGTGGGAGAAAAATATCAATGTGAGAGAGAAACATCAGTTGGTTGCCTCTCTTATGTGCCCCAACCTGGGACTGAACCCACAGCCTAGGCATGTGCCCTAATGGGTAATCAAATCTGCAACCTTTCAGTTTATGGGACAATGCTCTAATCAAGTGAACAATACTGGCTGGGGCTTTTCTACATATGTTTATTGAAAAACTGAATGACTATCTAGAACAATGAATGAGCAATGACAAGGCATATCAATAAAAATGTTTAGAGAATCATGATAAAGAAATAGCAAATATTTCCACAGAGAAAAAACAGATTACATGCAAAGGAATTAAATCCTGAATATCTGATATCAGATGCTAGAAGACATGAGGAAATAACTAATATTCTAAAGGAATACTGTTTTCAACTTAGAATTCTATACCCAACTAAATATTCAGGTGAAAGCAAAATGATGACAATTTTGGCCCTGTAAGGAATAGATTTTAACTTTAAAGAATTACTATTAAGAGAGCCACTTGAGGATATAGTATTTCTGAAACAAAGTGAAGAACTACATGAATAAAGCAGAAAGGAAAATGACATGAGACTCAGGAATTAGGTAATCCAACACTGGATTTGAATGGCAAGAGGAACACGAAGGCTACATATTTAGTTCAGAAAGCAGTCAGAGCATTTTGATAGGAGGACAGACAGCTGAAGGAGAAAGGTCTCCAAGAGCATGGAAGTAAAG